GATACAAATGATAAAATAATAACCTTTTGACAAGTCTTATGTAAATATATTGTCCTATTAAAATTATAAATTAATAATTTATATGTATACATATTTTATATAAGTATCAATCTATCATTATATTATATATTCTATATTCACAATTAAATTATCTTTATATTTTCTTAACATTTTAATCAATTTTGATGAGATTTTGTAAAACCACATTTAAATTCTTTGAAATATAGTTTACTAGTATTGACCCCATGCTTCGCATGGAAGTGTTTGTGATTGCCATATTTCAATTATATATATATATATATATATATAGATAAAGTATACTTTTAATCCTTCCTGCTTCGCCACGTCACTAAATAGTTTAATATGGATGTGACACATGTCTTCCTCTAAGAAAAAATCTCGATACTTTAGTTTAGATTTTTGGGCCTTTATGGTTTGTTAAGTGGGCTAATGAAACTCATTATCCAAATAGGATAGTCACAGTCTTCATCTTCTAAATGGGTGACGTTTGCTTTCTAGGGTTCGTGCTCTTCTTCAGTAGCTGCTTTGGTAAACTGACCATGGAGTTTTGGGGAGGTGATGGGAGATGAATATTCATGGCCAATCTCAGGTGCGGGCTGCTATACGTGTCAAAACTTCTGGATTTCATCTCGCCGGAAAAAGGAAACATGAACCGATATGGACTGCATTCAGTGGTTCTCATTAACGACCCTCTTAAATCCTTCTCCCCACTTCTTCCACAATTCCTTATTCAAAGCATCTCCCCCTTTCCTCAAGTCGCTGAATCCCAACTATAAAAAATGTGACTCTTGATCCTGTGAACATCATCCTTTCACTTATCTCAACCCAAAAAACTTTCTTTGAGCACATTAACAATGGTGGAATCCACCATCGCTTACATGGTTACGACACCAGAGAAGTTGAGTAGCCAATTTCCAGTGAATCCGACGCTTCAAAGTCCCAGCCTGGTTATAAGGTTCCATCAATTCAGTCCTCTCAATCTTTATATTATCTAAATTTTCAGCAATAAGAATGGCTAACTTTTCTCTCTTCCTTGCCGAATTGAAGGCTGGCCGATATATCTCCACTAGAACCGCCTGCTTTGGTTTTCGGAAGCAAAAAATGTGAAACGTGCCAGCGAGCTCCTTGACGCAAAGGTAATTCCTGTAAGGAAAAGTAATAATCATCAAACTATTTCTTCAAAATTCTGTGTTTGCCTATTTCATAGATGATTTTGGTTTCGTTTGTTCATTTTTCTTTTGTTTTTTCATGTTTTACAGGTGACTTTCTGTATTTCCTTATTGTAAATATGTTGTTTGGGATTAACATTACACAGCAATCTACATGGTTGGACATGACGGTAAACAAAATCTCTACTTATTTTTAACAGGACAATACTCTGAAATCATGGTATAATTGTGTATGATTGGTTGTTTGTGTTCTGTATGTTTATATATAGAGATGGTGTGAGAGGCAATTGATGAAAACCTCCACAAAAAAGAAGAAGAAACTAAAGATCTAACTTACCAGGTAGTTACTGCAATTCCAGTCACAAGATACATACACACACCTTTCGTTAGTTTTTTTTCAAGCTTTTGTTGTTCTTATAGGTGGTCGATCAAATTACTATTTGTGCTGATTCTCAGTTTGGCTTCTGTTAAATAGTTAATTAAATTTGTCAAGGAAAGCATTACGGGTGGTTTAAAACTAATTCTTTGTTTCTTGCTTCTTTCTGAACAGTTTTCTTCAACTCTAAAACACTGGATGCTACAAGAAAGGAAATGTCCCCACTACAGTTAATAAAAAGAGCGAGAGGGACGCTTACGTTTATTGACGATATCAGTTCAAATTACTTACTCTGATCTTTATATTTCTGTGGAATAGAAAATTAATTCATTTTGATGTTCATGTCTTCTTGCAGATGGGTATATATTGAAGTATATAATCTTGAGAGGAGATTGGCTTAGCTATGATGAATCTGAGACTCAGTTTTGTTAGTTCTAAGGGTGAGTGTTCTTTTATGTTTAGTTAAAGTGACCACCTGAATCTTGAGATGATCGAACATTGATGAATATGTTTTGTGCAAGTCTATATTCTGTTATAGTTTCTCTTATTTACTGCTCCAAGTCTCGCAATATAAATGAGTTTATTAACAAAATTCTTCATTTATGGAGAGGTATAGTGACAAAAATCAGGTTTGTTGTGCTGATAAACATTTATTTAACAGAATCAATAGACCGGCGTGCCGAGATCATACTGCAGATTCCTTTGGGCACCACATTTTGCCAATAACTGTTTAGTTTTAGTTAACATTGCACCTCTACTTTGTTGTAAGAGAAAATCATCATTTTAATTAGGAGATCTCTTAAAAAGTAAAAGTCCATTCCAAATTATAGTAGACACTAATTGGTTGTGCAACAATCAAATACTTATATTTGACAAGGTAAGGTCAGACACTAATTTCCAAAATGTTTTTTTATGGAGAATGAATGCTTGACGTACAAGTCATTGTTTTAGAATAAATTATAATTATTTGGTCATTGTATTAAAAGATGTCTATAATTTCTTTGGCGAAAGATCTTATGCTTATTTATGAAGAACGAAAAAAAATTATTTGAGACAAGTGTGGGAATATAAAATTTAGTTTGCCTAAACATTATTCGACTAATATGATTTACTAGATGATATATCGTCTACATTAGTAACACACAAGTCGACAGGATGCCTACCTTCTTGCTTAGTTAAGGTACACATATCCATCAGACTCCAAACACAGTTTAGTCATCTAAAACGACATTTTAAGAAAGCATATACACAAATTTTACCACCTGCGGCGAAGCGTGGGCACCCCCTAGAGCGTGACAAGAATGCATCCAACATATATTATATGGCTATGCCACCGGAGAAGTCGAGCAGCAAAGTACCAAAGAAGTCGACCGTCAATGCGAGGTTGATCACCGGTTCAATCAATAAGAACAAAGAATGCCTTATGTACAATATAATTTTTGTTCTCTCTATTTATTTTATAAATTAGTCTTCTATCATTCTAATAAATAAAAAAAAAAATTCAGCCAAATAATTCAGTTATTATATTCAAAAATCAATAAGATCTTTTTCTTATCAAACAACTTCCAAACTAAAATATAAAACAGTCCACATCATCAAATAAACTTAATTAGAATATATGGAAAACTAAATCAAGATAATCTCAAGAACAATGATGCAGGAGTGAAATAAAATTAATGCTTTTTCATATGTTTAGAACTATAAAAGTCAATTTAAATTTCACTAGAACATATGTTATTATAAAAATTTGGCGCTCCTCTAGTTACATATATAAAATAACTTTGATTTATAAAAGGAATATTAGTCATAAGCAAAACCATTAACAAAACATTTATCACTAACCACAAACAAACAGAATAAAGTTAGATGAACAAAACTTAAGTTCACCTTTCAAGGTGAACATTTAAATTCATGTCACCTCTAATAACCATTCATTATGCCACGTAGATAAATATAGATTAATGCATAAAAATTATTAAATATTTTTAAAAAACATAATATTTATAAAAATAATAATAATGCCAATTTTAAAAATAATAAAAAACCTAAATCCAAACCATAACCCTAAACCAAAATCAATACCCTAAACCCAAACCCTATACCCTAAAACCTAAACTTATACCCTAGATTTAAACATTATATCCTAAATCTAAACCCTATACCCTAAACCCTAAATCCTAAACCCTAAACCCTAAACCCAAACTCTATACTCTAAACCTAAACTCTAGACTCTAAATTCTAAATTCTAAACCTTACACCCTAGATCATAAACCCAAACTTTAAATCTTGAATTCAAAGCCTAGAGTCTAAATCCAAACTCTAGATCATAAATTATGAACCCAAACCGTAAATTCTAAATTCAAACCTTAAATCATAACCTTAAATTTTAAAGGAACAATATCAACATTAAGCCAAACATTTAGTGTACAAGATTCAGGTTTAGAATTTAGGATCTAGGGTTTGGGTTTAGGTTTAGAATTTAAGATATAGGATTTGGGTTTAGAGTCTAGGGTTTAGGTGTTAGGGTATAGGGTTTAGATTTAGGATATATGGTTTGTATTTAGGGTTTAGGTTTAAGTTTTAGGGTATAGGGTTTGGGTTTAGGGTTTACATTATAGTTTAGGATTATGATTTGGATTAACTAACGTCATTAAAATTGACTTTATTTTTTTTTTAATAGTTATTTTTGTTTTTTTTTAATATTTAATAATTTTTATTCATTAATCTATGTGGCATAATGGATGTTTAATGAATGGTTATTAAAAGTGAGGTGAATTTAAAGGTTCAGCTGGGGTTGAACCTAAGTTTTGTTCAAGTTAGATTTGTTACAAATTGCATTGATCACTACCTGTTTTCCTCACATTGATCACTACCCGTTTTCCTTCGTCTCCTTCTCCCTATTGAAACCAGGAGATGACGCCGTTGGAAACCAAAGGTACCGACTTTAATAAATGAAGGTGATGATGACGTTGCAGAAACTCTGCAACTCCACCGTGGAATCTGAGGACGACAAGAGCTGCTTCTAACGAACCGGGAGATGGGCCCACGAGGATCATTGGCAGCAACAGAGGTAGTAACGAAGGAGGTAGTGATGGAGATTCGCAGAAACTGAAATTCTCTGTTTCTTTGTTGAGGGAAAAAGTCGAAAAAGATTTCACAGCTTTCATTGGGAAATAACACCTCTTCGAAGACAAAAGAAAAGACCAAGAACTGTTCAGAAGCAAATAATGTAATATTCCCTTCTCTCTTACCCTACCACAAATAATGTTATATCTTTGCTTTGTTGCTTATCGTTGAATCTGAAATCATGACTGGGACAGATGCTAGAGAAGAATCTAAAAGGGATGAGAACTTGGTTTGCTTATGGCAGTGACAACGTCTCACCTGAGAGGATCAAGAGCTGACCCAGAAGCTTCCTGATTCCAGCAAATCAAATGTCGTTGAACAACATAAAATCTGTTTCACCCAATTCAAAAGTGAGAAATTTTGCGAGTTATTAAGATTGGTAATTTTTGTCTTCACTTCTCCTTCTCTGAAATTGTATTTTTAGTTTTCCTTCTTTTACAGGATTCATTTGGTAAGAAGCTAATGGATAGGATCCGGCCAACCCAACCCCGGTTCCTGCACAGTACTCTTCGTCCGCCTCTACCACGGTGTCTCAAGTGTCTTCTAAAGCTGCATCGGAGGTTTGCATCTGCGCTATCCAATGTCGTCCGTAGAGAAGCAAATCCAAGGGAGCCATGTTGATGCAGATCCACAGCAACACTATAGGTGTTGCCAAATCTGCACTTAATCCTCCGAAGTCCAGTTGCCGAAAATTTAGAGACAAGGTGGTCTTTCTCTTTCTCTCTGTTCATATACACTTGGATATGTAATATAAGGACTTAAAAATGCTTCTCTTTTGTTGTTCTATGTGATCAGAAAAGACAGAACTCTGAGCAAGTAGAAGAACAAGATCCACTTATTAGTTGTTGTTCTTCTTTGTAAAGAGTATTCACTAATTAACTGACGCCTTGGATCATGTTAGCTTTTGCTCTTATTCTCTGCCTTTGAACCACTCTTCTGATGAAAATTATATATCAATCTGGCTGTGTAATGTATACCCACTGGTATATATTCAAATATATTTTTTAAAAAATTGAGACTAATGTTCACACAAATTTGGAGACTAATGTTTATGGTAAATTTTAATAGGCCTTTAGACACTTCTCTGTTCATGTATTACATTTAATCTGTTTCTCTATCCTTGATTGCACCTAAGCAGGTTTTGTACCACACACATGGTCTTTTTCTTATACGCCAAGGCTGCCTCGCTTCAAGCGGAGCGTCAATACCCTGACTACAACATCAGGGAGTATACAAAAAGACCTTGGATGGGTTCCGTATGAACAAGAAAATCACTGACCCATCAAAGATGGAGGAGGCTTCTGCTGAAGGTAATGCACAGCTGGAGATTGTAGAGAGGGTGCTCAAGGTTTACTCGACATATCCTCTCAAGACCAAAACATCATGGAACTCAGCTTCAGTAGTAGATGTACATTTTGCATTTTCAGTACCCTCAAAACATATTTGTTTTTCAAAACATATTTGTTATTGTTCATGTTTTTTTGTTTTTTCCAACTATGAAACTTTACTTTGTGCTATTCTTATGTCACCTTTGGCTTATGGCTGCAGACCTTTATAAAGTGGAGAGAGGACACTACCAGAGAATAATCATATGGATTAGAGGAGATTAAAGAGCAAAGGGTCTTTTGTTAATTGTTTATAATAATAAACTTCACAGGATTCTGCTGTTGTTCCATTGATATGATCGCAACTTTTCTGTAGTTTATGTTTACCTTTAGCACTGATGCTGTTAGGTTATAGAAATAAAGAAAATCACAAGCTATACTTTAGAAGCTAATAGTAATATTTTCTTTTAAAAAAATCCTAATCTGTTCATTTATTTTATTTGATAATTTCTTAAAATAAATATGGTTATTTTTAAGTACTAAATATCAATATTGAACTATTATACAGATTAGCTATTTTTTTTTTTTGGAACGTCAGATTAGCTAATTTAGAAAATAAATTTTACACCGATTCACCTTTCCATTATGCAAAGCTTGATTTAGAAGAAAATGTATAAAAAATTCTAAAACTATCAAGGGATTAAAAGAAATTTATAAGAGAGAGAGAATTCATGATCTATGTATTGAACTTCAAATGTAATTCTGAATAATATATTTACTTATTTTATAATTAAGTTAGAACAAACAAAAATAGTAACACTAATTAAAAAGGACTTTTTATTATAGTTAGACAAGTGTATGATTTCTAAAAAATAACAAAAGTCAAATAATTGTTATTAATTGAGAATAAACTAAATATTTCTAAATGTATATAAAATATCTTTAGAAAAATTCACTTGCGTACATGCCCGTAAGATAGATTTACCCTTAGGTGCATAGACTTTAGTGGCCTTTGAAGTCCTTTTTGGGATGAGTGATTAAAAATGAAAAAGTCTTTAAACAATATTTCACTGATAAAAAAATATACAGAAATGTGCATAATAAATAGTTTACACTATAAATATATTTAAAAATATGCAAACCATGCAAAAGTTTTAGTACTTCGGTAATGGAAATCCAAATACTACGTATTTCAGTTTCTTTTTAAAGTATGTTAGTTGTTTTAAGACAACAATCCTCATTGTTTATAGAACAAAGAATATTTAATTTAGTCCGAATGTAACTTCGGATCTCTTACAACAAAATTTCTACCAATGGATCTTCTGAATCTTGAATGGAACATAGAATCCATTATGAATCTCTTTCCCCTTAATCTGAAATCATATGTTTAAGAGTAAGATCAAGCAAGAAATGGTCCATAGATGCTCATATTTGTTTCTAAAACAATAGAGCTTATTTTACCAAACCAAGTATCACCCAACAATAAACTTAAAAATGAGACTGATGAACATCATGAACAATAATGGTTTTGAACTTTAATCGATTAAAAGAAATTTATAAGAGAGAGAATTCATGATTTATGTATTGAACTTCAATGTAATTCTGAATTATTTATTTACTTATTTATAATTAAGTTAGAACAAAAAATAGTAACACTAATTAAAAAGGAATTTTTATTATAGTTAGATAAGTGTATGATTTCTAACAAAAATAACAAAAACCAAGTTGTTATTAATTGAGAATAAGCTAAATACTTCTTTAATATAGAAACAACAAGAAGACTATTTGAAGCCCTCATAACATTACAATGTTATATTTCTTTAATATAGAAACAACTATTATTTTTTCGACAACAAAAATAACTATTGCAAACAAGCAAAAGATATCTTATGACATATAATCCCTTCTTAGCCTAAAATTTTCTAAAAAAAAAAAATCATTATCATAATCATCTTTTGCAAATGAAAATCTAAAATACAAACTATACAAAAATTAATAACCTAGATCACAAGGTAAAGTATATCACGTTTGTAGGACGGGCTGACCCTAGTGTGGAATAAATGCAGATATGACTGCATCATCATTTCATCAAAATCGTGATCTGCATAAAAAGGATTTAAAACATGTTTAGGATTGTGGAAGCGCTATGGCCTAGCGCTCAAGGTGTAAAGACTTTTACACCATATTTGTGATTCAAATCCAAGGCTACGCAGTTTCAATTCTCGAAGAAGGTGAATGGCTAATTATGCAGATTAATGGAGAATATATTTATAAAAGATATTCACCATGGCGTAAGGAGTACTGTCAATAATTGATCTTATAGGAAAACTCATGGTGATACAGTAAGACGTGAATCTGCATAAGAGAGATAGAATTCTTGGTTGTAATATCGTCTATCTAATATTTCTGATAGTTTGTAGTGTATAATTAATCAGTGTTAAAAAAACAGGTTGAGGACCAATAGGAATTAATTTTTTATTCTATCTATTAATTAATTACATATAAAACTATTTAGTTCATTTCAATCATTTCAAATCAAACACAAATATGTTAAAATATGGTTTAATATTCTTTTTATTTCTTTGTTTTTGTTTAATAAATTAATTTGAAACCAAATTATTTATAAAATAATAATTAAGATATACATATTCTTTATATATGTATTATCTTATGTAAATTTTTCTATAAATTTTTCTATATTTACTAGCATATAACATAGGTTTTTACTCCTTCCAAATTTTAAAAAGTGATGTTTTAGTTTTTATTCCTATATTTGAAAATTAATATTTTAAATTTTTTTGTATAAATAACTTATATATAAAATTTTATAATACATTCATGTGTTATTATATTTTGGGGAAAATCGCATAAAAAACCTTCAAAGTGACACTTATTAGCATTTTAAACCTTGAAGTTTTTTCATTAGCACTTTAAACCTTCAAAGTGACATTCGTGTCACAAAAAACCTTAAACTTGAAATTCTGACCTGTTGAATAAGTCAAACAAGTCATTTATCAAGTATTTTCGAAAAATAAATATTTAATAAATAAAATTTTTAGAAATAATCAAAAAATGAATAAAAATCATTTAAATTTTGAAAAAAATTAAATAAAATTTCAGAACATAAAAAAAATTTATAAAAAATAATTTCAAATACCAAAATTAAATAAAATTCTGAAAATTAAAAACAAAATTAAAGAAAATTCACAAAATTGAAATTTTTGAAAATTCATTTGATTTTTATTATTTTTTAAATATTTATTAAATTTATATTTATTCAATATTTCTTTCGCAGAAAAACCTGAAAATTACTTATTTTTATTAGTTTTTTCAGAGAAAAAAATATTTAATAACTATAATAAATAATCAAACAAATAAATAAAAATCAATTAATTTTCAAAAAGTTAAAAATAAATTCTGAACATAAATAAAATTTATAAAAATAAATAAATTGAAATATCTAAAATTAAATAAAAATCAGAAAATTAAACAAAATAATAAAGAATATTCACCAAATTGAAAATTAAAAAGTTCAAAATAGTTTTTTGAAAATTACAAGATTATGTTTTTAACTATTTGAAACCATGAACTACAATAGTGATATGTTTGAATTTTTTTTGGCAACGATGATATGTCAATTTTATTGAAAATTGCCTAAAAATTACAAGATTTCTTTTTCATAAATCTGAAATATTAAAGTTGAGAATAAAAATTTTAAATATATCACTATTGACGATGATGGTTTCAAATAGTTTTCAATTTTTTTATAATGTTTCTATATGTTCTGAAATTTTCTTTAATTTTTTAAAAAAGGTAATTTAGTTTTTGATTTTTATTTAGTTTTTGTTCAATTTTGCGAATTTTCTTTAATTTTTGTTTAATTTTTAGAATTTTATTTAATTTTTGGTATTTGAAGTTATTTTTTTTTTAATTTTTCTTTATGTTATGAAATTTTGTTTAATTTTTTTTGAAAATTTAATTGATTTTTAATCATTTATATTATTTCTTAAATATTTATTTTTTGAAAAATTGATAATTAACTTGTTTGACCTGTTCAACAAGTCACATTTTCAAGTTCAAGGTTTTTGGTGACACGAATGTCACTTTGAAGGTTTAAAGTGCTAGTGAAAAAACTTCAAGGTTTAAAGTGCTAGTAAGTGTCACTTTGAAGGTTTTTTATGCGATTTTCCCTTATATTTTGTTTGTTATCTCATATATTGACATCCAATAAAATCAGTTAAAATAATGAAGGTACGCTATTATTTGTTTTTCTTTTTTCCAACACAACTAATTCAT